GCCCACAGCGACGAGCGGCAGCCCGCGACTCCGGCACGGCCCTTTCCTGGCTGCGCCTCGGCCTTGCCGCTTCTCCCTCGGACCCTCTTTCGTTTTCATTTCACCTCTTGCTCACGGCTCCGAGCCCGTCGCGGGTCCCCTGCTCGCAGCCCTGTCCAGGCTGTGGGCCGCGGGGCCCTGCGATTCCTGCCGCTGCACACTACCCCGGGCCGCAGCAGGCAGGGCGCGCGGCGCTCAGCCTTGTCGTTACAGTAACGTTTCTTCATAAAATCGGAACACCAGCCCTTGGGTGAGGGTGGCTTGGAGGAAGAAAAGGCAGCTCAGCCTAAAATACGGCCTTTCAACTGAAGTCTCACCCGGAAAGGAGGGGGCAGCGCCCACGCGTCCCCGGGAAGCAAGCCGGCCGGGCGGAGGCAGAGACCGGGCGGAGGCTCTCTGCACACGCTTCCTCCTGGGGCTCCGTTCACAGAGGCTGGACGCTGTCAGCTAATTCTGAAATCCTGGCCGAGCAAGAGGGGCTGCTCGCGGGCCTCGCCACCAGCCGCACGAGGCCCCGAGGCCGCAGGCGCAGGGGAGCTCCTTTGAAATCCTGGGGCTGGTGTTTGATGTTCACACAGCAGAGATCGGCCTCTGGTCTAGGGCCACTGGTGACTGACTAACACACCTTCTGAGCGTAATTTGAGACATAAAGTGGTTAGCATAAAAGTGGGGCTCTTCTCTAAGCAATAATGTTATTAAGAAGCACTTTTAAAGTACTTTTCATCTTCAAAGTTCTTTACAGACTAACTAATTAATCCTTTCAACATCCCTGAGACAGAGCACTTAGCCTGTAGAGGCAGAAGGGAGGCAGGGTGCTAAATGGCTGCCCCAGGCCACGCGGGGCTCCGAGACCAGCTGGCCTCCGGGCGTGTGTCAGGCCCGCTGGGGCGCTGAAGTCGGCTCAGGAAACGTGTCCAGGAGGCAGAGTGGGGACAGGCCTGCGCAGGATACACCGAGGACGTGGGGAGTCAGTTCGCCTCTTTTTTAAGCAGAATCCACAAAGGAAGTGGAAGACCCCGGCACGCACGGGCCGCAGCCTGAGCCGACACCCGGCCTGTTCGCCTCACGCCGGCTCTTTCCTTTCGCAGCTAGAGAGTGAGGTTTCTGGTGACGGGGCTCCTGCGTGACTGTGGCGCCACCGAGACGCGGTGGCACACGGACAGCGCTCGTTTGGGAAGAAAAAGGCCTCGCACGTACATTGTGGGAAATTACTACTCTTTCAAGAATGACCTTATTTCCTCATGATAGGGTATATAAATTCTGGTTTTTGCCCAGTGTACTCCCGACGTGCACTTGTAAAAACTTGTTCTGTCTGGGCTCTGGGAGAGACAAGCTGAGTTTTAGAATGGGCCATGGCAGAAGATCAGACAGGCGCAGGCTCTGAGCGGAGATTTCTACATTAAAGCAAGTCCCACTTCCCCCTTTGAGGTCGGCTTAGGGATGTGGCTGTGAACCAGCACCTCCGAGGCTGCTAGCAGGGCAGGGCGGGGAGGATTTAAGGAGACAGCACGGGAAGTGCCTGCGGCCGGGGCCGGGCGCCCGCCCAGCACTGCAGGGCTCCCGGGGCGGGGGGCGGCTGCACCCGGCTCCCCCGGCCCGCTTCTTTCCCACAGGTCTTTGGGGCTTCGGGGTTTTGGTGAGCATCTGACTGTCACAAGGTGAACAGCTGACCAAGCCCTCCCGTTTGCGGGACTGCTGAGCAGACGGGTGTGTGGGAAGGGGGGCGGGGACTGCTCTAGAAAAGGCATGTGCTTTAACACAGCCTTTGGAAGAGCGAAATGAACTCTTAAAATAGAGAATCAAAAATAAATGCCAGCCACCGTCCCTGCGAGGGCGTGCGGAGGGCACGGCAGAGGGACCCGCAGCCCAGCAGTGAGCTTCAGCGTTTGAAATCGCAAGTGCGTCGTGTCAGTGGATGCTGGACAGAAGGTGACGTGACGGAGAGGTCACCGGAAACTGTCTCAGCGCTTCCCTCCTGCTGAGGCGGGCTCACTGCCCTGTGGGGGCCACAGGCGGAGGACCTCACCCCCGATGCCCCAAGCCTGCAGGCCCCTCCCTCCATGGGCCAGGAGGGAACCGGCCTGGGCGCAGGCTGGGAGGGCGGAGACATCTGCACCCCTCGACCAGCCCTCTGGGCCAGCCAGGCCACCTCTAGGTGACGGGTTCTGTGCACTCAGTAGCAACTGTGGAAAAGGCAAGACAAGGAAGAGGGAAAAGTGACAAGAAATAATCCAGACAGGTAAACTCAGGTGCCCGCCAAGACAAGCTCGCCGCGGAACGGAAAAGCAGCGGCGCGGCAGGCGACGCCCTCCTGTCACAGAAAAGCCCAGACTACAGCCATGGGTGCGTGGGCACCCGGGGAAAGATGCACAGCAGCCCCCGGGAGCGGGGGGGCTGAGACACTCACCCCTCATTCAGCTTTATAACGAAAACATGCCTGTTACTGGAGTATATATTGCTTACTTTTTAAAGTAAAAGTTCGGAATTAAATTGCTTTCAAAAACAGATTTTAAAACCACTTACGTGTTACCGAGATTGCACTCCTCGGCCCTGCCCGCTCACCTGGCCTCGTGGTCACGAGTAGCCACGGCCGCAGGGCGCTGGCCGCTCACAGGCGCTACCACCACAGGCTACAGAAGCCCAACGAATTGCTCAGAGACAGGAAACAGCGAAAGGTCTCTGGGTTCCCAGGCCTACCACAGGTGGGCACTTCAAAGACGACTTCCCCTCCCCGGCAGAAAGGCGCCCGCAGGCAGCCCGGAATGTGTCCTCGGGCCACTGCGGCGGGCGGGCGAGCCCGAGGAAAGAGGCTTCTCGCCTGTCCCTGGCCGCGGGTCCCTGACCTCCCCCGAGTGCGCCCCTCCTGGGGCTGCGTCCTCCCCACCACTGTGGTCCCATTCCTGCTCACTTTCTAGTAGGTTCAGTTGTCAATTCACCCCATTCTCGCCTTTCTTCGAGGCTGACCCCTCTCTGCCTACTGGCATGTCACACCTCTGTGCTGGAAAACCATTTCTGGTTTTGACTCTCTCCCTCTGCCACCCAACCACGGGAAGAGCCACCTGCACTGATGTGTGCAGGACATCTACGTCCTCACCCTTTGACCACCTCAGCCACCAGGCCAAGTGCCCTAAGCCAGTGCTGGGAAGACCATCCTGGTGGCCTCCTGCTCCACGGGCCACGGGCCACGGGCCCCGCCCTGCTCAGGCCCTGCCCGCCCTGCCTGGCTCTGGCCAGTCGCCCTCCTGGCCTTCCGCAGCTTTTAGTAGCTGCTACTGTCTGCCTTGCCCTGCTGCCGGTCCCGGGCAACTCTAAGGTTACACGCCTCACTTTGCGCACACGGCCTGGAGGGGGTGTGTGGTTCTGATCAGAGACCAGGACTGCCTGCCGACCCCAAGGGCTCCTTCCTAGTCCTCACACCACACACTCAGGCTAGGCCCCGTCCCGGACGGCTTCAGTCACCACCGCGGCTGAAGCCCATGTCTCAGCCCCAACGGCTCCCTCGGCCTCACACGCGTCACAGCATAGGCAGGCACTGCCGACGCCTCGCTCCACCTGTTCGCACCCCGTCCTCTTTTTTCATCTCAGCGGCAACATGGCCAGACATTTCCATACCACCCCTGGCTCTTCCTGTCTCCTTTGAAATTAAATTAGGGCCCAGACAACGAGGCAGTGCAGGCCCGCGCTCTTCTGCTCAGACGGGCTAATGATGATGTGCTTCTGAGGCGGTCTGTCCGCTCCACCCCACCCCACAGACCGGCCTCTCCTCGCTGCACCGCTTGGTGTCTGGTCTCAGGGGCCAGTTCCTCTCTGCATTCTGTCTTTTAAACAGAGACCTATTAACAGATTTCTGGAAAACAGACTTTATGCCTGGATATTCTGGTTTTCTCCAACACAGGCACTCTTACCAGAAGGGTCCCTACCTGACCTGGGGTGGGGGCTGGAACAGATTTAGTCACAGTCTCCTTCGCCGACGGCCTCCCTGGGCCCAGGCGGCAGCGCAGCTCGCTTGCCGGCCCTGTCCGAGGCGCCTGGGGGCCGCGCGCCTGCTCCCCTCACCTCCAGGGCTCTGTGCACGCCAGGCCTCTGCCGCCCTCCAGCCCTGCTTTTGGCGCTGGGGGCTTGGGGGAGTGAAGGGGAGGGTGGAGAGGCTGGCGGTGGGCGGGCGCGAGGAGCGTAGACAGGCGCTGACACACGGGGTCTAAGGCCACACTGCGCGCCGGGCACGGAGAAGTGGCCCGGGCAGGGCTGTGGTTCACGGTCGCTTCCCCTTTACCGAACCGGTTCAAAGCGAGCGCTGGGCCACACGGCACTCTCGGGGCTGGGGTCACCGACGCCATGGGGCAGTGGCGCCACAGTGAACGCAAGAGCCACGTTCGTGAATCGCTGAAGGGCAACAGCTCAGCGCTTCATTAAATACTGGGAGATACGGCAAGCTCGGGATTTGCCAGAAGAATCCAGTCAAGAGTAGGATTCAATAAGCAGCTTGTGCCAAAATGCCACTCAGTGCGGCCATTCACGCCCCAGGCGTGCACATTAAGCAGCAAGATCCCCTCTCCAGTCTGGATCAGCATCATCACTTCATTTCCAAGAGCATCTAACTTAGTGCTCAGCCGCGGGCACTAAGTCAGCACTCATTTCCCATGAGGTGCTCAGTGCTGACCCCTCTGTCCTCAGCACTCTGACCTCTGTCGCCCACAGGCAGGCAGAGGACCAGAGAGCGGGTCGTGCCCCCAGTCCTGGCCTCCGGGTGCGGTGGACACCACCGCAGCTGCTCCAGCCTCTCGTGTCAGTGGCTGCGGGTGAGTGAGTTCTCGGCAGCAGACTCTAAAGGCCGCTTCCCGACCACCTGGCCACTTTCTGCAGGCACGCTATTCCTGCAGAGGGCTTACATCTTCTGGCAAATAACCGAAACTCCAAGTCCTAAAAGCAACATGGTGCCGAGTGGCAAAGAACACGGGCCCGGTGTGTGTGCACCGCGGCACGAGAAGCGGCACGCTGCAGGGCCCGGCGCCAGGCAGATGCGTGACTCGGGGCCCACGGGCGGCGGCTCCCCGGTGCCCGAGGCACAGCCACCCGCCCGCGGGCGCCAGGCCCTGCGGCGGCTGCACGCGACCCGCAGCCCCGAGGCTGTGAAAGTCACCGCCGCGGAAGCCCGTGTGCGGCTTCCGGCTTCCCTCACGCCAGCGGCGAAGTCAGGCTGCGCCCAGGGCGCGGCGCCCCTGAGCGGGCACTCACTTGAGCAGCTGCTGCTTGGCGGCGGAGTCTCTGAAGCTCCTGAACTCCTCTCCCGCTTTGATCTCGTAGAACTGGGGCCTGAGCACCGCCTGCCGGTCCTCCCTGAGCTGCTCCTGCCGCCGCGCCCTCTCCGCCTGCCGGAGGAGCCGGCGCTGCTCCCGGACCTCTTCCACCCAGCCCTTTTCATCGTCCGAACTCTCGGAACTCTCAGCATCGCTTGGCTTTCCCTCCGGCTCTTCCTCCTCTTCCTGAAATGAAAACAGCAAGAAGCAACTCCTTCCCCTCCGACCCGCACGGCCCGGTGTCCTCTCCGAGCTGCGGGGCCCTCAGAGGACGGGCCGCCGGGACGGGCAGCGCCTCCGCGCAGGAGACGCCGGCTCAGCGCGGCCAGGCGGCGCCTCCGGGGCCTCTTCTAACTCACGCAGACGCCTTGGCGCCAAGGAAACAGCAGCGAACCCTGCCCACGCGCAAGACAATCACCTTGTCACGACGTTCCTGCTGCTCTAAGAGCCGTAGTTTCCTCTTCCTTTTTTCACCAATTTTCGAAACAAGAGGATTCAAGAGCCTAAATTCTTCACTTTCTTCATCCACTTGGAAGTCGGGGTTCTCAAACATGACTTTAAATCGATCATCCGTGAGAATATTAGGAAGGCTCTGTAAGAAAAAGTGTAACATTTTCAAGTCAGTATTTGCTTAAAATCTGTTAAGACTGGAAAACATTTTACTGGTATAAGTGAGCTGCACAGGCATAAATCATTGTGCCATTATGAAATTTCTTTTACAACTAGCTTATAAAACCTTAATAGCTCAGGTCTTCTCTCCTAGCCACACAACAAATTCTATTACTTATTTTGCGGACAATTTGTATGGCTTGCTCCTTATAGATCATAAGCTAAGAACGAGTCTTTCTGGCTACCTTTAAGCTTAACACGTTGGAGAGCATTTTCTTCAACTACTACTTTGAATGCAAAAACAGTTCTCAAGGAAATATGTCAGTCTCTGAAACCGTTTTTAAAGCACTGCAACTATACTGGATTAAAGTCACCAAGTCTTTAAACTTACTACGCCAAGGCCAGGGAGGAAGTAAACACTAACGGCCAGGAATCACCACGGCAGGGGCGGGCGTGGAATTTTAGAGCCCCTGAGTTCTGTGGAAACAGGCGGACAGTCCGGTGCCTGACAGAGTAGCCTCGTTAATTTCCCTCCTAATATGTGTAACAGTTTTCAAAGGAAAAGCCTCAGCCATGCTGACATCATTCGACTTTGCACCGAGGCTCTCGTGGGCACACAGGACGGACACTACAGTCTCTTTCCTTTGTGCCATTTTTGAACAGGCTGTGTCCCAAGATGTATTTGAAGCGTGTATGTTCAAGCAAACAGGTAACCCCGCACACTGGCCTGTCTTGCACCTTGCCTGCTCTCAGCTGGGAAGCATACACACCCACCGAGGGGTCTGATGTGTCACGTAAGGGGCGTGTGGGACAGGCAGCCTGGAAGTGCTAAGCCGTGGCGGGAAGCTGCGCTCACGCTGGGCTCCACAGCCCGTGTCTCTGCCCCTGAGCAGAGCTCTGCGGGCCGCACCCGCCTGCCAGGCTACACACAAGCCGGGGCAGTCACATGACACTGGGGAGCTGGTTTGCTTACGACTTTCACGCACCTAAAATGTCACCATGCACTGAATTCAAATCTTGAACTTGCTGGCCATATTCCAGATACACTAACTAAATTTCACTTCTGGGCCTCCCTGGCGGCGCAGGGGTTAAGTCTCAGCACTATGAAGCTGTCCGCAGCCCCTGCAGCACGAGTCCATCTCAGGCCAGGGAGTGACCCCCAGGGCGCAGCAGACCCGCCTCTCCTGCTCCCCGCTCTGTCTCTGGGGAATCCTCTCACCCCTGCACCTCTGGCCTGTACCCCAGTTCTTGTGTGTGTAAATAAATACATATTTTTTTAAATGATAAAGTAAATTTGACTTCTAAGACATACATAGGTTCAAGGAAGAAACAAAGATAAGAGATAGTTCCTGATCGCAAGACGCTCACTCAAAATCTCGTGGTAAAGAAAAAAGCAACTGTTCGTTCACCACAGGCTCCCGGAAGGCTGACAGCTCAGCTCCCAGTGCCCTGGGGCGGAGAGGGAAGAATTCCAGTCAGGAGCTCCCGCGGCTGTGGCATCCGCAGGAGCTGGGCAGAGGGGCCAGTTTCCACAGCTGGGGTGCGAAGGGCATCTGCAGCCCAGCGCAATGGGCCGAACAATCTGGAGACGCAGAACACTCGCGAAATCAGAAAACCATTCTGACCATGCCCAATTCTAAAGGGCCTGAGGAGCCACGACTCTTACTGGGAAGGTCAGGGGGTGCGCAGGGAGGAGGCGAGGGGAGACGACAGTGCCAGTGCCTGGCAGGCGACCGAGCGAGGGCCCGACGGGCAGTGGGCTCGCTGAGCGGGCACTCTGGGCCCGCGGCGGCAGGAGGGGACAGAAAGCTGGCTGTCGTGATCTTCACGCAGGGGCCACTGCGAGGGATCCCTGCGCGAGCCCGGCTGACCCAGCCGTGGGGACAGGGGCGACGAGTGAGGCCAGAGTTGGGCGCTTTCGGGCCCGGCGCTGAAGAAAGGAGAAAGAGCGCGCGGGGGAGCAAAGGGCAGGCGTGAGGTTTCCAGAACCGCGCTGTCCTCCAAGCGCGAGGGGAGGGGGCTGCAGGCGGCGGCGGAAGTGCCGGCAGCAGCTGCCCCCCCTGGCAAGGCGCGGCTGCGAGGCAGGGAGGCCCCGCAGGACCCCAGGCAGGGTGGGGGGGAGGCGCCGCCCTCCTGGGGTGCCTCCAGCCGGGCCACAGCTGCCCACGTGCACCCGCAGGGCAGGCCTGCACCAGCTCCGGCCTGGGGCGGCACGAAGTGCCACCGAGGCTGCCAGTTCTAACGAGCGTACCCTCTGGTGCCGGCCACGGGTGGTGGGAGACTGCGTGGGGGGGCCCGGTCCTGTGGGGAATCGCTGAACTGGCCCTCCATTTTGCTGTGAACCTAAAAGTGCTCTAAAACACAATGAAGTCTTGAAAGAAATGAAAAGTCGGCCAAGTGAGAAAAATGAATGTTCCGCGGAAGACGGATTACTGGGTGCGAGGAGAGCCCCCTGGGCCAGACTCACCGAGCCGGGCACGGGCGCCAGCTCTCGGGGAGAAGGGGGTGCCGAGCTGCGTCGGGCCAGTTTAGGCACAGGCAGGCGGGGCTGTATGTTCCGATGGGAGACTACTTTCCCGTTACATGTCCTTAGGTTAAAAAGCAGCCCAAGGGAAATTCTTGTCTTTTCATCTTGCTGTATTTATTAAACTATCATCTTGACTAAATAACAGAGAAGTTTGTTTAAAAGCAATGTTTTGCTAGTAATTGAAGTTTTTTTTCTTTAAACAAATAAACTGCACTGCCTAAAGAGAAGTAAGCTTTGGATGAACAATTATCAAATAAAAAGTCTTTGACCCAGCTGGAAAAATAGCTCCCCCAGAGACTTCTAGTTTGTTTTCCTGTCTTTTTTATTTGGGGGCAGGGGGCGGGGGGTGGAGGGAAAAGGAGTCTTTGGCAATGCTTGCAGCAGTTTGTGCCAGCTTGGCCGCCGACCTGCCCTTAAAACGCTGAACACGTGTCACCAAACCTGGATCACACCTTCCAGTCCTGTTCACGCTGTGACCCTGGCCAAGAAGTCGGACCGAGACCCCAGCAGGACACTCATTATTACTCTGCCCCAGCGATGACTGGCTCAGGCTGACGGACATGGGAACATTCTTCCCGTGCACACAGCTGAGCAAAGCTGGGGGTCTGAGGGGCCCACCTCTGCTAAACCTCCACCAGGGAGTTGAAAACCAGACCGGGCCTTAGGGCGAGGAAGACAGGAAAGAGCTACTCAATATCCATTACACATCTGGAAGCCACAAGGAGGCTGAACCTGGCTGGGAGCTTCTCTGGTAGGAGACAAAGCGGGGCCAGGGCTGCCCCAGGGCAGGAGACCTCTGGCACAGGATGATCGTTTACCCTCAAGGGTGGGAGAGCCCCCAGGCCTGCATCGAGGACACTGGGTTCTGGTGCAGGGGAGGCCAAAGACGGTGCCTAGCGTGTCACCTAGCGTGTCACCAAGCGCGTCCGGCCAGGTCCCGCAGGGCTGGTGAGCCCGGGCCCACCTCAGAACTTCCATTCTGCTCTTTGAACTCCTCTCTGTTAAACATGAACAACTGAGGATCGCGGTAGGGACAGGCCTTTCAAAAAAAACTTTTCAGGAAAATTTCCCAGGACTGAAGAACCGTCTTTCAGACTAAAAGGACCCAGGGTCACAGAAACACGACCAACCTTCTAAAGAAAGACCCCAAACACGTCAACTAAACATTAACTTGCACACAGACATTTCCAACGCTTACTCCAGCTCAGAATCCATGGTGGCCAGACCCATCCTGGCAGCTCTGGGTCGGGGGTACCCCCCGAGGGGAGACTCTTCCGTTGCAGGGTGAATACACACAGACTCACTCCATTCAAGGGGGCCCTCTGAGACATGCCAATGAATCCCACGTGCGCATCTCTGGAGCACCCACAAAAAGCCCCCAGGCATGGGGAGAACAAGCAAACCGTGCAGTAACGGACTGCTCTTCCCTCAGCAACATTATGACTAACGGCCCGGTCACAAAGTGACGTCATTATGAATCGACGGCACTGGGATCCACTGAGCACTGACAAGTGTTCTGAGGCCGGCGGATGTGTAACTGTTCTGACGGGGTATTTAATTCACGTAATGTAGAGAGAGACCAAGCCATCGTGCATTTACTCGAGGAAGGCTTTCAAAAATTAAGATTTAAAGAGTCACTGAAAGAAGGTAACAGCCTCGGATGAGAGGCTGCAGGAAGGGTGAGAGCAGACAGCCACAGCGCAAGCACAAACCCACCCAGAAGTCCCGGCACCAAGAACGCCCTGCGGGGCCCTGTCCTTGCATGTTCTCGGAGGAAAAGGCCACGGCCCGCTGAAGTCACACCCATGGTGACAGCCACTGGACAGTAAGGACAGAAACAAGGCTCCCGAGTTGCGATCCTGTGGCCTTTGTGGAGCGGACGGAGCCGAGCACAGAAGCACCTGCGCAGCCCACATTCGCGTGGTCTGAATGCTGGTCAAAAACCAGAGACAACAGAGCGAGGACAGACTCAACAAAAACCTCCCGCGAGCCCAATGCCGCTGACCCAAAGTCATGAGAGCAGGCTGCCGAACATCCTGGCCAGCGGGCCTTACGCCCCCTTGGGGACGGCAAACACGAGGCTCCCTGCCGGCCAGGGCCAGGCAGATGAGAAAACAGGCTGGTGCGAATGAGGAAGCCACATGTGGCCGGGAAGACGAGCGCCATCTCCTCTCTCGACCCTCCCGGCTGAACGGAGCACAGCCCTCCCTCGCTCTACCACCGAATTTCCACATCGGCAGCACAAGGCAGGCGACAGGTCAGGCCAGCGCGCAGACGCCCCACCGTGCTAAGTCAAAAGGAAAATCGACCACTTCTGAATTCATAAGCAAACCTAGTTAGCGCAAAGAAATAACTAGCAACGTAAGTATTAATAGAAGGATCAGTAACTTTTAATACATCCATAAGAAAAAATATAAGTTATCAAAAATACTTGCAAGGAAACTGTCAATGAAACAGGAAGCCAATCGTGCTATTTTATGAAAGCAATACGATATTATCTTGCTATTAGTTTATGATTTTAAGAGAAAACAGGAAGGAAAGGCACTGAAATATTAATGATGCACTGAAATATTAATGATGCCTTTCTCTGGAGGAAATCATACGGGGCTGTCTTCTTTCTATTCTTTTCTGCTTTCCAAACTTCCCCTATCAAGCACATATGCTCTTGTAAGCGGGTGGGGGTGGAGGAATCACATGTATTTTTATGTAAAATGAGAAAAATAAGATACAAGTTACTATCAAGAAAGTGAGATACAAGGAACCAATATTTTCTCAGCCATACATATAAAATCTTACCTTATCTTTCTTTTTCCATGTAGATTTTTGCTTCTCCTCTTCTTCCTCAATTAATTTAAGTGCTAGTTCTTTGTTAACTTTCGGCAATTTCTGGTAGAGGGAAAAAATGCTAGGTTTTAGCTTCAGCGCTTCTCCAAGGAGAGTAATTTCACAAATAGAAGATACCCTCTTTTTAAGTCTCCCGTTCCCAGAGGCTGCCAGCGGAGGGGACGCCCGCACAAGAGCCCTGCCGTGGGTGGACCCGCCTCGCCAGGCCTCCTCACAGCACTGAGGGGAACTGTCAGGACCAGACCTGGCTGCGGCCCCAGGGTCAGGCCTGATTCATGCCAGGAGGCCAGGCGCCGCGACTTTGGCCGGAGTGTAGGGAGCCCTGAAATCCTGTCGTGAGTGCTAACTGCACCACCTCCTACTCCTGCCACGGCAATCTCTGAGGGGAATGCTACACGTAAGAGGGACGACTCCCAGGACAAAGGCAGAGCTATTTGCTGTTGTTCCTGCCCGGTGCTTCATGTTCCAGGGTAAAGCAAGTAAAATACAACTCAGTAAGTTCTTCAGAGCTGGGACAAAAGTGCATCCCGCCCAGACTCCCCGGCCAGTGGGCACACGTCCACCATGGAAAAGGACAAACAGCCACACTGAGTGCAGCTACCCCTCCCGCTGCCCCTGCGCGGGGAGGACAGTACTCACCTTTAACTGAACTCTCTGGGCGCGCGTCTCTTCTATCTTCTGTCGAATCTTATCTTTCCTGTATTCTTCATACGCAAATGGATTCACCATCAATTTCACCTTTCCAGAGCAAAGAAAATAACTGTGTTTAGGACTGTCTCACAGACACTGTGACTGTCACGCCAAAGAGCAGACGGACCTCTTCCAACGGCAGGAAGAAGAAACGGGGCGCAGGCCGCTCGCTCGCCTACGCTGACGGAGTTTCTCCTTACCTTGTGGTAGAGCCGGATGTCCATGAAGTAGCCATGCATGTAGGCCCGGAGAAAAGGCGATCCAATGAGGTGGGTGAGGCCTACGGAGAGTTCATCAGAAGAGGGCAGGGCCTTATGAAATCTTGATGAAACTCTTAAGGATTAAAGTGACTAATTTCTAATAATGGCAAGATTTTAACCTACTGCAGCACTACCTTCCCTTACATTGAACGTAATACTTAACGTGAAATGATGGACGTCTACATGGACTGCGGCAAACTGGTGAAGGGGCGACCTGTTACACAGGCTCTCGGATTTTTGGATTCATGAACCAGTTTTGATTGTAAAAATAAGAATGGGACGAGAAAGGATTAGCTGACTTTTATGTCACCATGTAGGACAGTGGTGGTGGGTGGGTGGCATCCAAAAACCAGGGACACCGTCACAACCATCAGGCCCGAGGGCTAGCTTCCAGCCGAGAAAGAGCAGCTGAGCACTCTACAGCAGCGGTGCAGACACGTGCGCCAGCAGAAATGCGCTGGACACACACGCCACAGTGGCCTGATAGCAAGCAGCCCGCAGTCGGTGCTGGAGTCACACCCTGAAGGAAACATCTCGGGGATCTTGAGGTTACATTAAGAATGAGCGGTGCAGGCTCTCCCCGGTGGTGCAGCGGTTGGGACACAGCACTGCAAGCTAGCGCAGCTGCTACATGACAGTGCTCTGCCTGCGCCAGAGAGTCACCTCGCTCACTGGCCGCTCCTGCTCGACTACCTTCAGGACAGCCTACAGGCTCAGAGCGCCACACCAAGCCCAAGAACAGCCTGGGCGGGCTTAATACTCAGTGACGACATGTCTGAGGAAAACAGCACCCGATTTCCAAAATTTAAACAGCCACCCAGACCCAACACCTGGCACTACCCAAATCCCAAGGCAGTATAAAACCCATCACTGAGTGGCACCAAGAGGCAAAAGTAAGCAGAAACAGTCCGAATGCGTCAGGCCCGGGAAGCTGCGCGGGCAAAAAACAGGCCCACATTCAACAGTCTGTGCTGAGGTGCCGGCACACAGGGTTTGGCGGTTTCTGCTTCCTCTATGAAGTGTCAAATTTACGTTTATGTCACGCACTACTCCTACTCCCAGTGAGGCTATAAATAAAAGCCAGGAGAAAGCTTTTCCCATTAAGAAAATTCTAGACCAAAGTCTGACAACAGCAGCACTCCCGTAGAGAGGCCCGAGTCCCAGGAGGTCTTCTGAGGAAGAAAAGGCTCTGTGATCGGCTGAGTCTGGGCAACGCTTCGTTCTTCCCTGGGAATAGTGTGTGTGACGGTGTCAAAGGCGCAATGAGGCCATGACGTGGATTTGACTGCTTGACCCAGCATTTCGCAAACTTTTTTTTTTTTTTTTTTGCCACAAGTCTCTTATAACAACAGCTGACATTCACCTCATATGAGGTGAATGTACTGCACTCTTAGCACGATCTGGCTCATTTTCCAAGCAACCTAAGCTAGGCACCGACGTCACCCCATCTTAGAGAAGAGGGACACAAGGCTGGGAGGGGAGGTGAATGGTCGCGCGGCTACTGGGCGCGGGATGTGCCTCTGACGCCAGGGCCACCACGGGCTCCCGCCAGGCACACTGGGCACCAGTACCACGCTTCATTTAAGATGACAAAAAAAGCTTCGCTAGGTAGAATTCTATCTGAACCTTTCTTTAAGGGGACCTCACAGACTCGACAAGCTATGCTTTCACATCTCATTGAGCAGAGAGAAGATCTGAGAAACGGGGCAGCTATGACTCCATTACCTCAAATGTTCAAAATCAAAAACAAAAACCCAAGTAGGAATAAAATAATTTTATATACATTTTTTTACCTAAGTTCTCAAGGTCTTTCTTGGTGACGAACTTGTAGTCGTCGTAGACGGTGCTCTCGGGGTTCTCCTCCAGCTCCTCTGTCAGGCTGTCCAAGAAGGAGCACCACCGCGGGGCCGGGCCCAGCACCTGCGGGCCGAGGGGAGCAGCTGACGGCCCGCGTCCTCGGCGCGAGTCGGCAGCCTGCTTCCGTCCTAAGTACCGAGACTTAACTGCAAGGCGCATGACAGCAGGAGTGTAGAACGGAAGAGCACAAAGTAGGGGGCAGTCAGGTTTGCAGGGGAAACCCAGCTCGGACACAAAGCTCGGAAGGAACATCCTTATTCCAGTCACCTCAGCACAAATATAGCACTCAGGTACTAAAGCAACGCCTACCCAGTCACCCATCATCTCTTTTACTCAAACCGGCACAGTTGGTACATGAAGTGTGAACAATTCTGCCGCTCCTGGCAAACAGAGTCTAAAGTGAAGTGTGTTTCTTCCTAACACTCACTCGACAATTATACTCGAGCTTGTATGGTTCGCTTGGCTTAATTCCCCTCACTCATTTAAAATTAAAATTCTGTACCTAGCATTCTTCAGACCTTATCCAAAGTGAGTCACCAGTTAGACCAAAGGTTGAGGAACGAAAGCGGGAACAGAACTTCGAGCCAACCAACACGACATGAGTAGTGCGGCCGCGCCCAGCTACTTCCAGGAAACCAGGGCCTGCTTTCTCCGCTTCTCGCTGTCGGCAGAGCGGGCCCGGCACTGCCGCACCCACCGAGACCCACCCGCACCCCAAAGAAGTGTCGTTCCCTTGGGAGGCTGAGCCGCTGCAGCCCCCCTTTACCGGGGGTGTCAGGCAGAGATGCTGGGCGCTGGCGAAGCAGACTTCCAGTCACGCCCATCTGTTTATTTTGAGAGTCACAGATTATACAAGAAAAAGATTTCAGTAAAAATTATTAAATCTAGCTTAAATTTTTGGGAGAAGGGGAGGTAGGAGGAAAGTTACGGCAAGGAAAAACGGCAGGGAATATCCTACTCTATCAAGGAAAGGTTAGATACGGTCGGACAATTCGGGGCTCTCGTTTGCCAGATTAGGGGTGACCCCACCCCTGCCCTCAAGGGCTATGGGTTGAGGAACATGACACACAACTCACTGAGCACAAAAGGAGCCCAGAGGAGTTTCACACAGCACAACCAATACAATTTTTATAAACAGAAGTACGGGGTTTGCTATGCAAAGTAGTTTGATTCCTCTGGAAATGGAAGGCATTTTTAAAAAGTCAGCGTAGAGCGCTTTTCAAAGGAATGGATGATTTCAAGCAATTTAAGACAACAGCTAAGCGCTAGCACACCGAAGCACTGAGCTGGGCCAGGACGCGTAGTGGCCTGAGGAGTCGAACCAGCCGGCGCAGAGCTTGGCGACAGTGGCGCCCCCGGGAAAGGCCGAGGGCCGGAGAAACCAGGGCAGGTGGGGCACGACGCGCGCTGGCAAGGCCCTCAGGCGGCCCTCAGCGAGCGCACGAGCACCTGGGTCTGGCAGCCACGGGGCACATGCGTCTGGAAATGCCACGCTCCGCCATGTAAAGTTTTAGACAGGAGCAAGCTGACACCTTTATCACGCTCTAGAATGTAAGATCCGAGACGCTGTTCTCCTGGAGAGCGGAACTTCGTCTGTTTTGCGCTGAGCTGCCGGGGCCCGAAGAGCCCTGCAAAGCAGCGGCAGGCACAGCTCGACGATGCTTCCCAGCTGGATGCGCTCACGGCTAGTCCACTCACAGGAGAAACACGCATGAACGCGCTCACGGAGTGAGCAGACTTGAGGGTCCTGGGTGGCAAGAGGATTTTTTAAATGAACGAATGTCCCTTCTCTAGCTGAAAGCACCCCAACGCCGGGCCACACAACGAACTGGCAGGTGAACGGCCCCCAAGGCGGGTCTCCTGCGCCGCCTGGGCAAGCGGCGCTGCCCGCCAAAGGAATTGCAGCAGCTTCACCTTGATGCTGTCAATCAATTCTCCACTTGCACTTCAAAGACAGAAGAGTCGACAGTGTGTGCTGCGAGCCCCTGGGCGTGGAAGGCGGGAACCTAAGACGACCAGACCAGATCTAAACTTACACTCACACAGCCGCCCTTTTTTTTTTTTTTTTTTTTTTTTTAGTAATTTTCCTTTTGATTAGTTATCTGTACTCTAATGGAACGGTTTTAAACTGCCTTTTGGGGGGACAGGTCTGGTGATAGTAAATAATCTCTGTTATCAAAGTCAGGGCCATTAAATTTTATAGGAGGAAATATTTCCATCAAAAACAAAATCAAACCCAGTGGGTTGGGTCAGGAAAAAACATCAGAACAACCCATAACAAAGTCAAAATAACCCATTAACTGGTGTGAACTTCAGATTTTATTCCTAACAGCTTTCTGCAGGGTCTGCCCACTAGCTGCCAGCTCAGAGGCCAGCTAACCCCGGGCACAGCCCACAGGGGCCTGCAATGACCCGTATCAGCTACACAGGCAGCCCCAGAACCTGGCTAAGCCTTCACCTAAGCCTCGAAACCACGTTAATCCGCGTCCTCCCCTTCAGGCCTCACACGGCAGGAGCCTCCTCACCTCCACAGCCCCCAGGCGCGGCGGCGCAAGGCTTAGCCGTGTTTCTAAGCACGTTCAAAGTCTTGTTTGGTCAGAAAACTGGGGAAGACTGTTCTGCTTTTAACTTCTATTCTCTGTTGATGACGTTCCACTTTTAATTCATAAGCTCTTCCCATAAAGGTACAGAGAGAGTCCCTTAGTGACTTTAATGACAAGCATACTGAACAGCTGACGGGGAAACACGGCCTTTCAGGGCAGACAGCAGCCGTGGACGGCACGACTCGCGACCCAAACACTACCAAGCGTCCGCCTGCTGTGACCCACCTGGGCAGAAGGCCCAACCTCAGGTGCGTGAAACACACGCCTGAGATCACCTGCCTCCAACTGCCCGGTCTTCAGCGTGCTAATTCCATGTGCTGGATTTCGAAACTAGGAATTCTCATCTATCCTGGTCATGGATTGAAATGACTTAAGTGCGGAGAAGTACCGACACGCAAGCCTTTAGAAGCTGACAGAAGCTCCTCCTCCTCCCTCTCTACTTGTGAAGAGTCACCGTGCCATTCCCCAAAGCTGTGTTCAGATAACTACTACAGGAAGCTTGAGGACTGCTGGGTGGATGGTGTTAGGAGCTCAAAGATGATTAAAATACAAAACTTTGATATTATAAACAATATTATAGGAGAGCCAAACTCGACTCAGCACAGATGCCTGCATTTCCCACTTACTACTAGCATGACAAAATAATTTCATTATGTTCCTACCACTCATATAAAGTTCAACAGAACAGCAATTAAATTTGAAATTATTATCCTGACTTTTAACTAATGATTAAAAAAAAAACAATTTAAAAACGGTTAAGAAAATTCTTAAACTGCACCAACAGGCCGTAGAAAACTCTGCCCCAGTGGGCCTGCGCACAGCGCAGAAACCTAACGGCGTTAGAAACAGACGTGTCGTGGGTTCAGGGGCCGGTCCCCTGCTACTGAAAGGCTACATTGCTGTTCTTGGAATGCTCAAAATTTTCTCTATACACATTGATGATAATCATATTCCCTAAGCTAAAAAATAACCAGATAGAAAGTTCTACCTCCGGTTAACAGGGGAAACCTACACGTGTGCTGATTGTTTTAGCACTTTCTAGAGCGTCTTCAGGGTGCACCGCAAAGTGGCGTCAGTGGGGCAGCTGTGAGTGATGACGGAAAGGATGATGCGATGTGAGAGGACGTCGTCAGCCGGAAAGAACGAAGTAGATTATTTGTAACTTTAGAGACTGGGCTAGACCCATTAGATGTTGGGGGTAGATTTTAACTCAATTCTCATCCCTCACTATTTACTAAGCCAGATGTTTATGATGTTGCAGGTATAGTATGTGTTATAAAAACAGGCAGCAGAACAAAGCCCAACAGAAAATCAACAAAGCTTGACTAAAAAGACAGATAAGGTGATTTCTTAATTGCTTCAGGTTCATTCATTCATTGAAAAATGTTACCTGAGCATTTATTACAAGCTAAGTGCCTAATGTCAAGCATCAGTATAACCAGCTTTGGAAAACAATCAGCTACAATATATTGTGGTCAATGTCAGAGCAGACAAGTTTTAAGAGGCCTGGGGGGGAGGGGGCCTTTATATACTGAGGCAAGAGGGCAACGTCGGTTTGGATGAGACACCTGAAATACTGCTTGAGCCAGGCCTTGAGAGCCTCTAGAAGTTGAGAGTTTACGCTCAGTAAAATAAATTAGCACAATAAATACAAGTTAATGCCACAGAACATTACTATACATTTGTTATTGATTATAAAGAAGTCTGGCTAGAATAATTACTATTTTACCTCTTACAGATCTCATCTTACCAAAATCTTAGACACTCGATTTAACATTATTCATGACACAGTAACATCACTGGACCGATAAGAACTACACTTACTGACGGCCACAGTGAAGAGTTTGAATATAAAAGAATTTCACCACCTAGCAGCTGTATAAATGCAATTCGTTTGTTACCTGTTTTCAAGAAATTCTAAAGGAGACGTAAACAGACGTCAGCTCTGACAGCTAACAGAGAGCGGTGACAGCACAGAAACTAGGCGCAGGGTGGCGACCGCCCAGGGGCCCTGGGCCTCACTCCCGTCCGAGTTCACCCACCTCTGACCACAGGCTGTTACTCTCACGACGCGGCCCTAACTCTCTATCAGGAGCTGTCAGGGCCAGAAGAGTTTCAAAGCTCAGAATTTTCTGCTTTTCCTCCAGGTCGCGAGCGTGAACGCTCCGACCACACGAGCCGCGCCAGGCTGGGCCAGCGGCCACGCGCTCGTGTCTGCGCAGCAAACCCACACCGCCATGCCCGTGACAGGCAAAAACACATGCAGGGAGCGTCTCCTCATGCCCAAGTGAAGCAAGTCGGATGAGACTCTGGTGCTAACACATCAAAAAAAAAAAACAATCCGTGGCTTCTTGACTTGAGCTCTGCCGCTCGCGGAGCCGAAGCCAACAGCCCGCGGCAAGCGCGCGGAGGCCGCACCGC